GCCAGGGAATTACCATTTAGACCAGGACAGGGAGATCCACTTGCTTGAATACCTTTGATCTGTCATGCATGAAAATCTCCTTCAGCTCGACCCCTTCTGTATGATGACCATCCTGGTGACGTGCTACTATGGTAGATCTTTCGGGAGCTGATAAAGATGATTCAGTATTTGCTACAGTGACAGTTTCTGTCAAAGACATAGCATTAGGGCTAGAGTTGTGATTGAGTACAAGTTAGGTTTAGGTAAAGTATTGAAATCAGGACTTAAATTAGTTTTAGAAATTTAAAATCACAGAGCAACTGCCGTCACAATCCTTTGTGGATTGTTTCCTGTTTGTAAGAAAAGAGTAACATATGATTGTGTCATGATTTCAAAATAAGTATTTTGCAGAAAATACAGAGGTTTGTACAAAACACCTTTCATATCTATCATGAAAAATAATGGAACTGTGGATTATAAAGAATAACATCTGTTAGCATTTCAAGGAGATTCATTAAAGAGCACTTTTTAGTTACATACGACTACTCCTTTAAACTTTTTGAATGTTCTGGCGAAATACAAAGAATTCTCCTGTCACCATCATTCTATTCTGAGAGACAGCATCCCAAACATCTGTGAAGTGGGATGAATGCCTGTGATATAGGCTGACTGATGGTAGGGAGGGAGGGAGGATAGCTTGACTCATTGAATGATGGTAGGGAGGGAGGATAGCTCGACTCATGTCCTTTCCAATCGAGTCATGTTCTGACTTACATGATGAGCTAGCCAGACATCAGGAGAACATCAGTTAAAGGCAAAGGAGATGGTTTAGAAATTGACAGATATCAATGTCTAATTAAAAATCTGGTATAATGCATCTGAGCAATTGACTTTATGACTGGATGGAAAGTTTTTAATCAAATTCACAAACTTTATGATTGCCAAGAGTCATGAGGAACTATATTAAACAAATCAATAATATTTTTCAAACATTTTAACAAATTTTAATATTCTCTTTGATCACACTTTTACAATGAATATGAAATTAATATATATATCTTTGCATCATGTAAGGATAATCCAATAAAAAAAAAAAAATTATCACAGTACTTCCTTATTTTCTTTCTTCAAATCTCATCAATTTCAATGATTCTTATGAGTACCATACATTGTAGACAGTAAAAGACGTTACAAGTCAGTGTTAACCATTCTTTTCATATATATGTTCCTTTCAGCAGACTTTCCAGAGTCCAACTGTATCTGTATATAATAAGAGATCTCACTAAGATGTTAAAACACTGATTAGAGACAAGAGCATCGTGTAACATATCTACCACTTATTTAAAGTTCTACATGGGTGCAATTTAGTGACTGCAATTGAGTTTAACTGATATCTAAACTACATGTTGAATAATGTACCAGCAGTAGATAGCCATGCAGTTTAATTAGACACCAACAACCAATTACTAGTAACGAACGGCAGGCTACAGGTAACAAATCTGGTACACATGCCATTAAACTCTCCTATCAATCATCACATCTTCAGGCAAGTAGAATGTACCCCTCACAAGACATCAGCTCACTCAGCATATTAAAACATTTTTTCCCACTTCAATTAAACCCCCCCCCCAAAAAAAAAAAAAATTAAAAAAAATGCAACATTTTGTTTGTCTTTCCTCAATCTTTCTTAAACTAATGCCTTATCCCTCATGTAATCTCTGTCTATCTCTGTCTCTGTCACTCTCTGTCTCTCTGTTTCTCTCTGTCTCTGTCTCTCTCTCTCTCTCTGTCTCTCTTTTCTACCCTCTCTGTTAACAAATGAGTCTTTCTCAGGCCGAGTATTTTTAAGTTGACAGTGTTTTCTACTCCTGAAAAAAAAACTTGACCTAATGTCAATAGATAATCTAGATTTAAAAGTTATTATTGATCAAAATGAAAACAATATTTTTAATTTCCTTCGAGAATTGATCTTATAAGATTTGCTCCCTTGTACTGATTTTGGAATTCAAAGATTTGACTCATTTCACATCATTAACTTGTGAACTCATCAAATGAATTTAGAGTCAAATGTTTCCCCATGCTTGAATGCAGCGTTGGTGATCTGAAAGTAACAACCATGTGGTATCAATATTAGGAATTCCAGTTAGAAGCATAAATTGAAGCCAGGCCGTGGACAAATAAATATATCATCTCCAATGTCTAAAGACCAAGAGGAGGAAGGATTGGTCAGCTGTAAACAATAAAGCTCCTGAAAGAAACGGTAACATTAAATGGATATCATTTAACATGAAGAAGTCTTCACTGCTTGAAAGCATTAGGGATTGGCATTTAAGATTTGTATTGGCAGTCAAACCATGAGAAACAGAGATGGTATTTAGAGAGTATGGGTTACAGTGAACTCTTCAAGGTAATGGAAGATGCATGTGGATGCACAAGCAGGAAGACGAAGGGGGAAGAAGCAGTGCTGATGGGGAGGGGAGGGTTAGTGACAAAAACAGTTCTTGAAAATTAGGTCAGTATGGAGTCATAAAGCAGACTATTTTAATAAGTCAATTTTACTGAATTTCTGTTTCTGAAATACTGCACAAACATTGAGATACACTTTGTGCATTGCAGCATAAGTAGCTTGGGTTGTCACCTCTAACACCAACTTTGACTTTATTTATTGATTCATGCTTAACAACATAACAATAATCAGTAGTTCTTATAAGTTGCCTATATTTAAACAACTGGAATAGTATCGAAAATAATATCGCTAGTGATATTCGTTTGTCTCGCAATGTGGTCAATAAGGAATCTAAAAGATCACTACGTTTCGTGCGCTATCTGCAACATTGATTGGTTGAGCACCGTATGCATCGGCCAATAGGCCTGGTGCATTAGCCGAATCAGCGGCCGAACCAGCGGCCTGGTGATTGGTCGATCACCGTGTGCGTCGACCAATAGGCATTGTGCGTCGATGTTCCAATTATCGATCGAATTATAGACCGCTCCGCCGGTCCTCCTGTAACGTATAAAAGACCCTTGCTTACATTAGTTTTTATCACGTGATGAAGTGTTGCAGATAGCGCACGAAACGTCGTAATCTTTTAGATTCCTTATTGACCACATTGCGAGACAAACAAATATTACTAGCGATATTATTTTTGATACTACCTCCGCAATGAGCAATATATTTAGCATAACTGGAATAGTGTTAAGGAATGGCATTAACCGATTTTGCAAACAAAACTAATACGCAACAGATGTATTTCTAGTCGATGAAGTTTTATCTTTAATGATATTACAGCTGATTTTATGGTCTAATACTGTCAGGCACAATTCATCAGAAAGGAATCGGCATCAGAACTGCAGCCTTGCCCCAAGACATTTTGAAGCACCCGATAATTCAAGATAACTTATAAATATTTACTTCAACTCTTGAGGTGTAATGGATGAATGATGATATCTCTTCCTATGACATTACTTGGTTTTAAAAGAAACAGCATGACTAATTCTGTGGTAGAGGACCAGGGATCTGGGATCCGAGGTGGGGGGGGGGGGGGAACCTTGGGGAGTACATGAATCATCTGTAAAATCTAATCCGATATACCCTCAGTATACAAAAGAAAAAATCTTGCATGAAATTGTGTTCATGTCCCTCAATGTTACAACTTTTTTTTCTTACTGGATACTTCTGGACTAAAATAAGTGAATAGGCAGAAGTTGTGTGTCAGAATTTTTTTTTAGACAACTGAACAAAAAGATGACTTTTTTTGCTCATCACATATTTTCAAATGACAGAGATGCTTGAAAACATGTGAGAACAAAATTTTTGCTTTTTGAGATAAAAAATGAATTTCAAGGGAATCATGGCTCATCACTAGTTTGACCAAGTTATGCAGCCTTCATTTCGGATGACATTGTCTTTAAATTGTAGTAACATGGACTTGACTTAGCTAGGCTTACCATTGGTCTCGGCCTTCCATCGTTGCATAGCTCTCATACCTTACATTCCAGCGAGCCATGTCTCACCAAATCCAGACTTGGTTTGCTGTCACCTCCTCAGGACAACCAACCCAATTCTAGCATAGCTAGGTTAACCCCATCAATGCTGGAAGCAAGATGAAGTCATTCATGTCTTGAGCTTGTGATAAAGGGATGGTTAATGCTCTGAATGTCCTCCGAGATCCACAATTTGTTTTCCTATAGTACTGTCACTTCTGTCCACTCAGAAGTAAGATTTGCTTTGGTTTTTACCCTGGATACTTATGAACACCACTTTAGAAAATGGATTCTACCATTTCCTTTATAGAAAAAAGTTTTTATTATGATTTACCTTTTCATTACTTCATAAGGTAAAGATGGTATTTTTGATGTTGTAATTCTAGAATTTCAAAGTAAAGAAATCTTCTAATTTTGAAGCTATTTGGCAATACAAGGATAGAGGTAGGGTGTTACAGAATGTGGCAAACATTACTCTGTCATTAAAACACTCAAGTTGCCTGTATCAAATTGATTTCCCTTGATTTTAGAACTATTGTACAAAATCAAAGAAACTGTGAATTCATAATTGGAAAGTACAAGAAGTACAACATTTCAATTAACCATGTAGAATATACAGACATCTGCAGTAATAAACAATTTTTTAATAATATCGCATTCGTTTAAGGATAACTTTCCTCAAAATGTCTTTGCCTAGAAACCGAATCCCTTATCAGGATGGCCATTCCTTGTAAGATCCAAAGTCAAAAGTAAATGGGCTAACTCCTTCCATACTAGCACCAACATCCAACCCGTCCTCCCCACCCAAGACTATCGCTAGGCAACATTATCCCTCGGATTATACCCATGCTGGATGCTGCTACTACGACCGACCGACCGTGAGGAGGCAGTTCTTCTACCATCAACTCGGAAGCGAGGATTGTGTTTTGTTTGTGTACACATCACACAAACTGCAGGCAGCCAAAACAATTACTGTCTATCTCGATCAATGGACCAGCACCTATTAGACGGGACTTGATTAATTGACCCAGTCCTCTCACTACCATCTTGCTGTGAATCTACAGGGGAACTTAATTTGGATTTCTATTTCTTATGCCACCATACATTTTGTTTCCTGTGGGATTGAGATCTGCTCACAAATGAGATTTCTTTGTGGATGACATAATTTTGGGGATAAATCAAGCTAAATTGGCAGGTAAAAACTTTTTTTTCAAACTTTATTACTCTCTAGAAGTTAGAAAATATCTCAATCTTTAAACTTTGTCAATATCGTTGATTACTTTGAAGCATGAAAAATAACAATTATTTGTTATGTATCTTTTTTTATTAAAAAATGCATTGGTTCACTTGTTAAAGCCTTAGCAGCACTGTAACTTTTGAGAAGATTCTGTACGTTATTGCTTGGAAAAGCTTGCCGTAATACTTACTGAATATTAAGTTTTGTTAACCCTTTTTGTGCTACCCAGTTTTTGAGCAATAGCCATGAATAAACTTTCAATGGTAAAATGTTGACTAAATATATGGTCTACTTCATTGTTAACTTAGTTTTTTGAACTATTTATCATGTGAATCAATTTCACAAGAAAGTACCAGAGTCTGTTTAATTAAATGGATATATAAATGGACATTTTAAAGGTATCGTTTAACAATGAGGGGCACGGCCCTGCGTGTTGTTATCAGTGTCTGTGATATGGTGTAATATCGAAGCCCTAACAAAATTGCGCTTCAAAATGATCAAGAAGTGCCTCAAAAAAGTAAAAATCTTTGAGTGATCGGTTTTACCATACTTGTTTTCCCCAATAGACTGTAGTGTTATGAAAACCGTTTAGCAAACGGTTTTCAAAATTTGTAATTCCAACCATAAATATCTTGATAATCAGACAGGCAATCCGGCTTGTAAAAGTCATGGACTTCCTGACTGACCGGAAGGTTTATAATTATCATTGTAGCATGAGCTAAATCCAGGATTTTGTTTCAGAATCTGAGACAAATTTACCGGATCCCTTTAAGCTAAGAACACATCGGTGAACATTGAAACACACTCAATTTATTGGGTGAAATTTGACTCCTATGGCAGGAAAAGAGTGGAAGAAGTCTATTTGGTAAAAATATATTAAATTCGTGGATTAAAGGTATTACAAAGTTTTGGTATGGGGTCATGAATTTGGTTCAAATGAACATATTGGAAGCATATGCGATCCTACAATATTTAATGATCGTTGTCGCGGTTCAAATCGAGTCTAAAATGATGAAATTGTAAATAATCAACTTGTTATGTTGTATAGCTCCCTCTCAAGGTCAAAATATTAATTTAGCTATAAAACAATGTTTCTGGACTAAAATCGATCAATTGGGTATTTCCGATTGGAAATTATATATCACAACTACATATTCTGAGATTTTCATGGTTGCAGCTACCATTGTTTGGCCGTAGGCGCTATTTGAAACTTATCAAAATTTACAGGGAGCACCAGTAAATTTTTATATTCAATTTTTCTTGAACGCAAATGTGTTTTAGGAGCTAAATTTTCTAGTGCTTATATTAAATCCACAGGGGCATCCAAATATATCAAAATTGTAAAGAATCACTATCCAACCAATTTTCAAAATTTTCCAAAACTTTGTATTACCTTTAATTGTGCCGTCGACATATTCTTTGAACTGGAGGTATGCCACCATGTACGAACAATTACATTTCTTTTTCTGAAAGGAATCTATCATGGATCACTTTTTTCCACCCTTACTTTTGCCATATCCATGATGGCTAACTACTTATGGGTCTTTAATAGATGATATCAAGGATATAGATTTACAATTGAAATAGATAGTGTGTATAGAGAATGATAACATGTGACAGACAGCATGTAGATGTTATGTTAGCTGGATACTTCATTACATCATGACCTGTGAAGGGGGTCAGTGAAGGGGGTCATGTGATACCTATATATCCCCTTCACCTTGGCACCAGCATCATCTATGCTGGTATATAGCATTGGAGTAGTGTTGAAAGTTTTGCTCAACCTTTTGACACAGTAAAATAGTTCAATTGCTTATTAATCTTTTTTGTGGTATGTGATGAAATCATCTCTGAAAATTTCAAGAAAAGAATAACTGAAAAAAATATTGATTAAAGAAGGCAAAAGAAACATTTTGATTTTCTCTGAGATACCCAGTAATAAATCATTACTATCATAACTGCATGGATTAATTAAAAGATATTCCATCAGATTTTCAACAGCCTTTTAATCTTTCTTTCTAGAAAAAATGCTGTTAAGCCTTTTTGAAAATGTGCTGTTGCTTCTTGATTTGTTGAAAATATGTAAATTTAAAAAATTCATAAAAACGAAACTTACAACCACGCGCGACACATTTCCAATGTAGAAATGTTCATTCATCATGCTGTTTTTTTCCATACAAGCAGGTAATTTTTTTGTGGTTATTTTGGTATTATCGGCATTTCATATTTTTGCAGAATATTTTTCTCTTCAAGTATGTTTTAAAATTAGTTTTCTATTGAATTTGTGATCAAATCACCATTTTAGGGCAGTTGTTTGATGTGCGGTATGTAAAAAAAAAAAAAAAAAAAAAAAAAAAATTATTAAAAAAATTATTAAAAAACATATTTCATGAAGAAAAAACGTAATACCGTAATTTGGAGGAAAAAATGGAGTAATTCCGCCAAAAACGGAATGGTTGGCAGCTCTGCAATACTATTCCATGTATTTTATTTTATTTTGTTGGAAATGGAAGAAAAACAAAACAAAAGATTCTAGTGGACACAAATAAAGGGCATTAACACCAATAATACTGCAAGCATTTGCCAGTTTAAAACTCCCATCCCTGTGTTCATTTTAATGAGAAACACTGTTGTTTTCATTCCAGTTAACCATGTTTACTTCACACAACCACAGGACACTTCCTGATAGACAGGGATCACACCACATCCTTAATGAATCACAATCAAGTGTGTCCTCGTGTCACAAGTCTAACCAGTAAATATACACATGGGGATAGGGCAGATGATGAATAGCATTAAGTGTTAAGATAACCAAGAAAACAAGAATAACAATCAGAGTTAAATTCTTTTAAAGAAAAATAAACTGCAAAGGGAAAACTAAAGAAAGCAATATCATATAAAGAGTAAATCATGAATGGAATTAATTTAATTAAAAAAAGATGTTATCACCTTTTTTAAAAAGGTAAATGAACATAGAAAATGTAAACATGGGACTTCTAATGCAGATGTCATATTTCAAAAGAATTGACACTGACAATAATTAGCCACAAGTATTTGATAGATTCTCATCACACCTTACATTTATATATCTTGAAAGTTGTGAATTTGTATATCTGGAGGGGGGAGGGGAAGTAATGTTCAATATAATTCTGGCAAAATATGGACTATTGGTAAAAGGCTTAACTTTGAAATTAATCATGAAAAGAGTGTCTTGTCAATGGTAACTTAATTTGATTTCAGTGATAAATTTTTCAAGTTTGATCACACACAATAGATCAATTGAACTATAGACCTGCACACTATTTAATATATTAGTGGGACTGTCATGGCAAGCAATCAGTTAAGGTACCAATTGAGGTATTCCAATTTGTGCATCTAGAATAGAGCAACATGGAGTTCCAATTTCAAATGCTCTATTTATATACAGACACCCTACCTCTGGGTCACATGACTTCTCCTCCCCGTAGATCATGTTGCGTATCTCTCACTATCAGCGTGTCCACACACAAAACAATTTATCGCGAAACTCTATAACGATACGTCGTATAAAGAATCATCGTATAAATTCCAGGATGTCCACACACAAGAAACGTCGTCACTATAGAATCAGCGTATAAAATGCCCCCTGTCCACACACAACATTTTCCGTGATTCTTTATAGAGTTTCGCGATAGTGATAAGAGGTCTGGTCTCATTTCGCTCGAGGTCACGTTAAGCCCCGCCCAGTTAGTTACACTAGTTACACTCCCCCAGGGGGTCCCCCTGTCCACACACAACATTTCCGTGATTAGGCGTGATTCTTTATTGAGTTTCAGTTCGAAACGATGCCCAAACCTGCGTTTCGTTAGACTAGTTTCGTTATACGACGTATCGTTAGTGAGCGTCCACACCTACAATTTTGGTCGTAAAACTATCGCGAAACGGTATCACTATCGCGAAACGGTATAGCTAATCATGATTAGTCACGGAAAATGTTGTGTGTGGACAGGGGGTTAGTCTAGAAATGGACAGACCCTTTTGACCTTGCTATCAATATATGCATACATTTACCTTCTGATAGTACAACGTCCCTATCAAGTGTCATTGCTTGCAAAAAAAGAAAGGAAAAAAGTCATGTAAACAGAGATTTTAGTCTGTTATACCACATCTCCATTTTTCTTTCTTTAAAACTTTCACATTTCTTTTATTATGTATCATGATTTTAATTGTGACATAATGCCACTTTTTGATTTACTACATAATATTCCTTATTCTTTTTGTTTCTTAGATAACCTTCAAAAACATACTCTACCTTTATTCTATCTCTACTTAGACCTTCCTCCCCAACCCTCTCTCTTCCTCCCTCTTAATTTGCACAAAGTTCAAGTACAGAATTTATTCAGATAAAAATAGGTGATAAGAACATTTGACAATTCAGACTCATTTTCTGAAACCTTTGAATAAGATTAAAAATGATGGCTGGGTGTGGGCACTTCCTGTTTTGTTTTTCTTCTAGGAAGTGCACAGGAAGTGGTCAGAATATTAAGCCCAGCTTTAGAATTTGAATTAAATATTTCCCAATTGCTCTTAAATGTAAGTGGGAGCAACAAACCATTAAAAAAAAATGCCCTGAAACTATTCATAATAGTTTGGAATTCATTGACATTGATACTAGGGTTGAATGCATCTTCTTAAGATATGAACATGTTGAAATAATGATATAAGCTTTGAATTTTCTGTCTGAATTCCTTTCTCCTGTTATCACTCTTAAAATAAAGCCTTTAAAAGCGGGCATACATAAGGAACTTTGTATATTTAAAATAAAATAAAAAATATGAGATTAAACAATTCAAATATGAATGTTCAATTCACTCAGAAAAATTGTGCACATGATTTATCACCACTGGGTAATTAAGTGGGAATTTTTCATAAGTATTCCTCCTTGGTTATATCACGATCCTAAAGCAAAGTGTTATGAGGTATAATCTATCCTTTTTCTTTCATTCATTCATTCATCCATCATCTACCGAGAACTAGAAGAGCCATCATATTTCTTGTCGGCTCTCTCTCTCTTTCTCCATCTCTCTCCCTGTGCCTCTCCATCTTACAAGGCACAAGTAGAAATTCCTTCTCAATGGGGGTATAATTGACAGTCTGGAAATTGGTTATTACCTGCAGGCAAGACTCCAAATGAATCGGCTTCATGTTTAATGTCTCTCTCTCTGATCATACACATGTAGTATTCCCTGGTTCATCAATATGAGTTCTATACTGTCATAGTAATTTTCCCCAGTTTTCTTTGTTTACTTTCTTTGCTCCTATGCCATTCTTTAAGCAGGCAATTTCATTCATCTCTTCAATCAAGTAAACCTGTATGTTCTATACAGTGTGTGGCTTTAACAAAATTGGTAAAGTGCTGGATAAATTTGCCTTTATCAAATTTCATATCATATTACAGAAAAATTGTCTTTATATTCATGCTTTTTTAACATATTAAAGTTGATATAAAATGAATTCTTCTACCTCTTTTCTTACTTATCCAGGACATCTGAATTCCTGTATCGCAGGAATCTCATCTGACTGTGGGAGTATAATCTGACCGACTGCTTTATCAATAGCATCCACTGGACCTTGATTCTTATATCATTACTGACCAATCAACAAACAAGGATGTATATCAAAATAGCAGCCGTTGCCTGTATTGTAGTCTGCTCATTAATTGGTTTGGTGAGTATGTCAAGTGAAGCACAAATAAAAACAAATATAACAAAACAATCGTTTGCTCATAGTAATTAATTGTTAAGATTTTGGGAGAGGAAAATATAACACTATGAACCATGGGTACCCCCTTTAGCATTTACAGATTGGGATATGCAGATGTAATGTGAAACCAGTTTTCAGATCAGAAATATGAAAGCTGATAGGATATGGTTATGAAATATTTTGGAGGTTAATCTATGTTATGCAATTTCTGAAGCAATACAAGAGCTGAAGTCACACAAAAAGTGGTTAATATTCAATTTTTCTTTTCCTTTACAACATATTACTTGCTTTTTCTTTCATTTTACTCTACCCCTTCCACTTTATGACCTTGTCCGTTCTTGATATCACCATCACGACTGTATTTCTCTTGGTACATTTGCTTATTTTACAACTTCCTGCGACTCTCTGAGCCCACACAATTTCTCTCTATTCTAATTTTTAGAAATGTTTTTCTTTCTGGATTTAATTTTCTCCACCCCTCTCGTTCTCATCTCTTATACTCTCTCTCTCTTCTAAACTTCCTTTTTCCTTTATTATCTCTTTCTCTCGCTCTCTTGTTCTATCTCTCATTCTCTGTGTCATATTTTTTCTTACTCTTTCTCCTTTTCTCTCTTTTCCACACACGTGCTCTTGTACTCTCCCCCTCTCTCTCTCTCTTCAACTCTCTGATATTCTCTCTCTTTTATGCCTCCTGTTATCTCTTCAAAACTCTCTTATCATTCTCATTCTCTCTCTCCCTCTTTCTCTCTCTGCAGTATATGTCAGAAATTGGTTTCTTCACAATGTTCCTCATAGCATTCATCGTCTTCTCCGCCATGTTGGTTGCCATGGGTTTTGATCATGCTATGATCGCTTACAGCAAGACACATGTTTCACCAGACAGAAGAGCATCTAGACTTCCAGACCTTAACCTTAATAAGGACCAGTAACAACTCAGTGCTGCAAGTGCAGTTGTCCATGCTTTCTGCATATATATCTCGCATATCGCTAGAAAGAAGACTTTTCATGAAGAGACAATGTTTTTGAGATTTAATTCATGATAATGATCCTCCTCATCTCCATCGCGAACCAAATTTGGAATGAAAGTTTGATGCTTCCTCACTAGGGAAGCTAGATGAGACCGAGAAATCATTCACAGGGGCATATAAACGAAAAATAAAGAGATCAATATCACATGGGTATACAAATTTAAATACTGAGGAAGGTGGAAGAAAATAGCCTAATAGGCAATATCTTCTATGATTAAAGTGGACTACAACTTTAGTCGATGATTAAACATGTCTCAATAATTGAAAGTCTTCTTCCTAGCATTGTAATTCTAGTTGTAATCTTGTAATGGAAGATACATATTCTCAAAATTACAATGGCATTCGGCCTTTCCCAGAACTTGGCAATAGAGGTTACCCATATGGGACAACTAAAATAAAGTTTTTGGCAACAGAGATAAATTTAAATAAAACCAATTCATATCAGACAAGAAAAGTAGCAGAGGGGCTGGCTAGAAAGGTATCAATGAATTTATATGTCAGATAAAAAGAATCTTCTTCCCTTTCTCTAGCAATGAATCGTCTCTCTATTTTAGTCAATTGTCAAATACACATTTGCATAACATGGAGGTTATCACTTAAACATAATGAGGCTGACTAATTTTAAAGAGAAAACATACATGTATATATATATATATGCTCCAAGATGCCTTAAAATTATGTGAAAGAAATAGATTATAACTGTTGCTCACTAATCAAACAGTTTTATGAAGTTCTATAAAATTTGCCGATAGGGAACCAGACTTTTTTTTCCCTATTTTTTCCTAATTGTTGGTGATACCAGAATAATGTAGACAACTTAAAAGGGAAAAAGAAAGAGCATTCTTCATTAACAAAAGGGCATAAATTCTAATGACTTTGTTAGAGTTTAATAATTTTATTTAAGACTCATTATGCAAAAAGAAGGAGTACGGGAATTAAAGTATCTCCATTTTGCAATGTGCTGTAACAAAATAAAAGTGTATATACATGTAATGCTTCATGACTTAGGAATGTAAAATATATCAGTCAGTTGAAAAAAGAATGGTATCAATTATAAATCATATTACATTGTAAATGGTACACATTGTGTTTTGCAATCAACACAATAATGTGCATTCAAAGCATATTAATGGATGAAGGTTTCGTCATTACAAATAACTTCTTATTCTTCCAATACCTAGATGACTAGTGCCTTTCTAGTACTTCAATATCATGTAATCAACCAAATTATACCTGTTTTAATGTGATGTATTTGTTGTTCATATATTAACATCAGTTTATCAATTCAATGTTTACTAAATACTAATGACTATTCACTATCAAAACATGTACATCTTATGTTTGTTACCTTTTAAAACTTTACACTAAATCTTTACTTTGAATATATTCAAAAAGTCTGTTTAACAAAAGTATAGCTTTTGGTGTCCTGCATATTTTATAGTATATAGTGATGTAAGGAAATCTAGGTGCATGAGGTATGTAACATTTTCAAATCCTTATCCTATTCTTTCACCAACATATGGCATTTTGTAAACAGTTATCTCTTTGTATCTTGGTGAAGCTAATAGTGAGTCAGTGGAGTTATATATATATCTGTTTGTGTTATGCATAAATTGTTTACAAATATCATTAACATGCAGTCAGATACTGTTTAAACAAAACAAAAAAGAACAACATTATGTTTATCATGTTTCTTTTGAAATTTATAGTGTTGATTTTGCTTGTCATATTGTGAAAACATTGAACTGAGTACACAGACTAAAAGACTATTAAAGGGTCAAAGTAAATAATTTCATACTTGGAATGACACTTAATCATAATCAAGTGACTGTATTCTTATTGTTTATATATAAGAAATATGTACAGAAAGCATGCATTTACTAAACAAATTAAAGTTTATATAAGAAATCTAGATAAAAAGTACAATATCGACACAAAGTTTGAATCCCTACTAAACCCATCTGAAATGAACCAATTGCAAGATATTAATCTACATCTGCCACTCTCAACACAGGTAAGATGAATGGACACCTGGTGTGAATATTCTTTAAATGATTGAATAAAGAATTAAAAAGAAAGACTCCTATTGTCATTTCCCAGTGCCTGATGATTTATCTTATTCTAATTTATTTCCTAAAATATTTTGTGCTTCCTTCTAAGCCAACCCTTTCATTTGTCTGTTAAGAGCCAGAAGGGCACTAAGTCATATTCATGTACATAGAGTTAAAGCCCTTCTGGCTTTCAACAGGCAAACTCCTTTTTTTTCTATTGTAGCACAAATATTTTTAAAGCTTCAAGTATTGTACATTGATTTCAATAATAGCATGATTTAGAAAAGGAAATGAGCAACTGAAATGTAAGATGTTCATGTCATGTTAAATTATTACAATGTGTGTTACATGGAGTTTGAGGCTATATATTTCAATTAAGCTGCTAAGATGTAGAAACATAAGAAAATAATGCAACTTTTGTACTGTGTATGGATTTTTTTCCACGGCATCTGGTTCAGCTTGTGTTACACTTTTCAAATACTGGAAAATTATTATAATAAAAAAGATTTGTAATAATATATGAAAATGTTTACAGTGAGTGTGTGTTTGAAAGCAGAACATTTTGGGTTAAATTCACATAGCTTTGAGAGATTCTGTGTCTTTACTTTCCAGCTAATCTCATTACAAGTTCCTGAAAATTATATGCTGAGTTCTGGTAGTGAGGAAATATTTGGTTATCTTGTAATCCAACAAGGTCTTAAAGGAAACTTCACCCCAAAGAATAAGTGTAGGTAGGCCGAAAGATACAATGTATTCTTGCCCTTTGATGTATGATATTCCTTACAAAAGTGTTTAATAGATATATATAAAAGAAGATATTCTTGGCATGATGATTTGCCTTTTAGCAAGACATGGGCCTAGCCATTTTCTTGATAATGTGGTGTACCAGGCAAACTCGTTGGTGTATCACGGACTAAGCTTTAGTTGGAAATACTTTTCAATTCAACAACAAAACCTTTACTTTTCAAGGAGGGAAAATCAAAGCTGAGAAGGTAAAAATTATATTTGGTGAAAAATATATAACAGGGGAACTATTGAAACTCATTTAATTAAAAAACATACTAAAATATAGCAGTTGACAAATCTATTTCATTTATGCAAAACCTGCACCCCATAGGAGCACCATCTTATTTATGCAATTTTTGTTCTGACAATTGTAGTACAAAGGATACGAGCAGGTGAATGAAGTACTTCGCCACCTTACACATGTGGGAAGGAAGCAAATACATTTACATGATAATTGACTTTGCATTGTACGTCACGTTATCAAGAAAATGGCGATGCCTATGTCGTGCTGAGAAACTGTACATTATTCTTGCTTTATACCTCTCTCAAACACTTGGGGGGGGGGGAATCTCATAGATTAAATGGCAAGTATACAATAAAATGAATAAATCCCTCAGAAATATTTAAGTTATTTCTTGGGGTGAGGTTTCCTTTAAGTGTTTTTAACAAATACTACCAATAAATGATACCAAACAATGGATTAAATTAACAATATTTATTGGCCAAAAAAGAAGCTTAAAAATTAAACACCTGAACAGTTACAAAGTTTTTTGTAATCCTCTTAAGGGCATAAAACATTGTAGCTAGTGCTACTTATGATTTTGTTTTTAACATGATAAATGATTCAAGGTGTTTAAATGACAAGGTCTTTCAATTGCTGTTTCACTACTTCAAATAAGGAAGGAATATCAAATATAATTTACAACTCTTTTTGTTTCTTATATAAGTTACACAGACATTTACATTACATTTACATTTACAATTACATTACACAAAATAATGAAAAAGTAGACAAATGCAATGGAATATAATATAATAAACTCACATTCAAAACAATCATTATCAAAGACAAATCGATTGACTGTCTCGAGGGTGGTATGGGACTACATTGCCTGAGTTGAAGGCTAGGGCAATATGGTTATCCAAAGACTCAAGGGCAGTATAAATCTCATATGACCAAAAAAATTGTCTACAGGCAATCTTACATTTACAATTTGTTCCTATTGATTTGTTTAACCACCAACCATACGACGTCAACCTTGTTCAAAACATTTCTTATAAGCATGATGAAGAACAATGATTCCTATAACACATGCATGTCATATGGCCAGTTCCTGACAAATTATTTCATTAGGATCTATTACCGATATCTTGTGATGCACTTTGTAAACATATCCTACACACTGTGACGTCATCTTAGGGCTCTAGTATAGAATATCTGTGTCCATTACAAGCCCCTGCCCCCAAACATGAGGATTGCATCCTGCTGCCTAATAATGAAATGGGAACAGACAACAGACAGACGCAGAGTGGAAACAATTATTGGTATGCAATGGGCATTATGCCAACGTCCTGATATATTGAAGATGTCATTGTGAACCAGTTGGAATGATTCACTTCATGAATGTGGAGGTTGAAAGAAAGGGGAGGGGGGAATTTAGTACTTATATTTAAAAAAAAATCAAATGCTCAAGAACAGGGTGACCTAGTGAGATTGAAGGGTGGTTCTTTTTCTTTTGTCTTTTCTCTTCCCTCTTTTTGTTTCTGTCATTCAAGTAAGACATGGTGTATGTTCTCTTGCCTCTCTCCTGTATTCCTCCGTATATGTGTTGTGTTGTGTTGTGTTTGTATGTTTGTATGTTTGTTGTGTTGTGTTTGTATGTTTGTTGTGTTGAGTTTGTATGTTTGTTGTGTTGTGTTTGTATGTTTGTTTGTTGTGTTGTGTTGTGTTTGTATGTTTGTTGTGCTGTGTTATGTCTGTATGTTTGTTGTGTTGTGTTTGTATGTTTGCTGTGTTGTGTTGTGTTTGTATGTTTGTTGTGTTGTGTTTGTATGTTTGTTTGTTGTGTTGTGTTTGTATGTTTGTTGTGCTGTGTTGTGTCTGTATGTTTGTTTGTTGTGTTGTGTTTGTATGTTTGCTGTGTTGTGTTTTGTATGTTAGTTTGTTGTGTTGTGTCCTGTAGAGTCACCTTGTTACCACCTGTTTTGTCTTGACTGTATATTGTCTCTCTTTGTGAATGTGTATGTTAGCTGTCCTCTTTGTAATGTT